AGAAACGTCAGAAAACTGAAGATTAAATCGACAATCTTTCAAAAAAGTTGACAAATGTCTGGTCATTCAGAAAACATTTGAACTTTGACCCTTAACAATGACCTTAACCTTGATATCACTGTAATGGTCATTAATTTTTTTGTGATTATTTCAAGCAACTTATTCTCCAGGATTTGAAATCATAAAAACAATGTCAGCAGATACAATATTCCATATTTTAATGTTCCTGATTAACTATTTGTGAGAGATATTTTAATTAACGATCTATTACCCTTACAATTTAACTTATTCACCCCTGAAATTTCATAATGAACTATTCCAACCTTTCAATTGGAAGAGTTCAAATGTGTCTTCAGGGGCGATTGAGTTAAAGCAAAAAATAGAAATAAAGGGATACATGGATAGAGGGACGGATAACGCCCATAATATAAGTGTGGAACTCGTAACGAATAGATCATGAACGCAGGATAGAGGTGGTCAGTACATAATGAATCAAATGATTATATCAATAACTTATAAAAGATAACGAAATGTTTATAACATTTTACTGGCCAATTTATAAGTACGAGATAACAAACAGAATTTTCCGGTAATGACATTCAGTGTTTGATATCAGCCAGATATGGTTAACACTACAATACTTACTTAATATAGGTGTGTGTGTCCAGAAAAATATCTAGCATATATTAATAGAAAAAAATCAACAAAATTATGAGCTGAAAATGTGTTTTGAGTGACTAAGTGCAAAATGGTTGTGGATAATAGGTATAGAAAAATGTCAACTTTGCCAAGATGATAGTCAAGAAAAAATAAGTTAAAATTAGTGCTATTTACATTATAATATTATCACAGAAGCAAAACATTGTTTGAAATTATATCCTCTGACAGACACTATGAACATGCTATTTTATCTTTTTCTTTGTATGGAAATAAATTTACTACTAATATGTTTTTTAGGATCATGATTCAGATTTGGATTAAAGTCAATATCCAAAGAAAGAGATTATTAGTGTAAGAACTTACCTTAACAATTAAATTAACAAATAGAGGCAGTTCTATCAAATATTATTAATTACTTAACTATTTCTGTAAATGTTTTCTGGTTGTTCTGTATGAGAAAAATATTCATGAAGTTTTAACTCTCAAATGGATCAACTACTGGATATATCTAAATTATTTGAATTTGCACTAGATATCTGGATTCGCTGATGACTTGCTTTATGAAATCATCATAAAAAACAAAAGTTAATAATTTTAATGTTATGTTAATATATGTACCTTTATATAAGTACCTATGTTCAAAAGAAGTTTTGTTAAATATCATTATATTAAACCAACTATAACAGGTTTGAAAAAAAAAATATCAAACAGTAGAATGCTGAATATACAGCAGTCATAGCCAAAATACAATTTAATATAAAAATTTAACACAATGAATTGTTAATGATTTATATATATAAAGCTTCTATGCAGACTAGTACAAAACAACTTAAAGCAGGTTAGCTACATTTCATATACATCATGGCAATCACGGTCTCTGTATATATAATACACAAAAAAAACCAACAGTTTTCAGTTTTATTTGGAACAGTAACACAAAATGAATGTGTTTACTGTCATGCAAATATAGAAAAATGTTCACACTAATGTACAAAATTTCCATACAAATGTACAATATATCACATACCAAGGTACGAAATATCCATACAAATTAACAATTTATTCCATACAAATGTATAGTTTCCCATACAAATGTACAAAACCTTCATACAATTGTGTAACTGTACAATGTATTCCATACAAATGTATAATTTCCCATACAACTGTACAAAATATTGAAAAATATTCCATACAAATATATCGTTTCCCATACAAATGTACAAAACCTTCATACAATTGTACAATTAAATAATGTATGCAAATGTATCATGTATACAAAAGTATGATTATTTTCCATAAAAATATACAAAACATTCATACAATTGTATAAATGTACAATATATTCCATACAAAAGTACAATTTCCCATGCAAATGCACAAAATCTTCATACAAATGTAGAAGAATGTATACAAATGTACAAAGTTTCCATACAAATGTACAAAGTTTCCATGCAAATGTACAAAATATCTATACAAATATACAGTCTCCATACAAATCTCACATACAAATAAATGTACAGTACAAATGTCAAATAGGTGGTACAATGTATTTTAATAAAGATGGGTTTCTTCATCTTGTATATTCTATTAGAGTACAGGTATAATATACAAGTTACAAAATAAAACCAATAAATATACATAGATATACCTGGAAAATAAATGCTGTCACATTGTGAAATTATGCAGCATTAAAAACAAAATCATACTTAACATCATAAACACTATGTGGAAATCGAGGAGGCTTCCTTCAATAAATAATACACGTACAGGCCTGAACGGACACCTACAGGCCTGAACGCCCACCTACAGGCCTGAACGGACAACCAAGTCGTTATACTACAGTTGCATTTTGTTTTTGCATTGTGATGAAACCAATCTTCAATAAATGTGAATAGTATCTTCATTATTTTTTATTTTTGAAAATTGCAATACATACACTTTGTTGTTTTGAACGACTCGTTGAATTAGCCATTAGATAGGTAATTTAGCATTGTCATAGAAGTAGGCATTAGTTTCCACTTTATATAACCATTATTACAGACATCATATCACTTCAAAAGTAATCACTAATCACAGACAATATTCATTAGAAATGGAGGTAACAATTCCTTTTTCATAAAATTTCGCTTCAACACAAAATGATACGAGTTACTTATGTACTCTAAGAAAGTAACACCAGAAACAGTAAAGATTCTATCATAAGCAGGCTAACCAACAAACTTCACGCAGACTCTAAGAGGTTTGTCTTACAGACAAACTTGAACAGAAATAATCTATATTTCTTGGTAAGAACACATGGACTGAACATGCAGAAAAGATGCTTTGGACTTAAGAAAAAAAAAGAAAAAAAAAACCAATCTCAATTTTCTTCATTCACTGCAACTGTTAATAACTTATTTCCCCTTCTTTAAGAAAATGCATGTAAAAAATGTTAACATACAACATTAATCTACGATTGCTTGGTGAGATATGATTGACAGATGAGTGTATAAATGATCATGAAACATCTCGATCACACTCCCACAGCTGGCACAGTTTACAATAACATAACCTCTGCTGTCACATGTGGAAAAGAGGAAAATGAAATATTGGAAAAATGCAAAAACCTCTGAATCAAACATTTTGTCAATACATGAAGTTCTTTATATATCCGTTTTGGATTAAAACACCATCACACATAATTGCTGTCTCTCAATTTACCACTAAAAGCAGTGTTTATACATAAAACTGTACAACCAGAAGAAATCAGAGACATGAAATTCCCTTCTGACATGATCATTCAATTATTCCCAAATGTTGTCTACGAATATACTTGCATGTCTACCTTCTGTACCTCTTTCATTAAAATATTCCTAGACAATTGACCTCCAAGATACACATGTAACTCCATGCCTCAATACTCCAAACTCAGTATCGCTGGCTTCACAAATGGATCTTTACAACAAGAATTGGTAGTAAAATTATCAGTTATGATTACGAAGTTACCACTAAACAAGGTGAAAAATAACGACCTGTAACAGCTAAATTATTTTAAATTGATAAAATTTCAATGTCAAATTTGTGTAGGTGAAAGAAATGCCTGCTTTAATAACCTAATTCAGAACAAATATTTTTTTTACCTACCTTAACGATGTAAATTAAACAAGATTCCACAACGATCAAAGTTTCCAGACAATAGCGATATATTCTACAGGCATCAAATAGCAGACTTATTTTAATGACTATCAATATACCATTGAATTGAAATTCACGATTAACAGACAACATTTGTGGACTAGCAACCATCCACAGTGATCAATGAGTTTAGCAATGTTCCACAGCAATAGGCAATATTTCAATGTGTTTAATTATCCGACAAATTCGGAAGATTAGACGGTGATATTTCGCCAGTTAGTTCACTGCAGCCAACGAATTGGAAAAAGTTGAAGACAAGTGATATTCTCCTACAATCTACTAAACTGAAAAAGGTCACCGAGTAGTGATTTCTCACATCAGTCTAAGAGCTGACAAAGTTTGTGGAAAAATGATATTCTCCTACAGTCAATTAAGTGACAAAGTTTGTTGACAAGTGATATTCTCCTTCAGTCATTAAGTGACAAAGTTTGTGGACAAGTGATATTCTCCTACAGTCAATTAACTGACAAAGTTTGTTGACAAGTGATATTCACCTACAGTCAATTAAGTGACAAAGTTTGTTGACAAGTGATATTCTCCTTCAGTCATTAAGTGACAAAGTTTGTGGACAAGTGATATTCACCTACAATGAATTAAGTGACAAAGTTTGTGGAAAAATGATATTCTCCTACAGTCAATTAACTGACAAAGTTGGTTGACAAGTGATATTCTCCTACAGTCAATTAAGTGACAAAGTTTGTGGACAAGTGATATTCACCTACAGTGAATAAAGTGACAAAGTTTGTGGACAAGTGATATTTTCCTACAGTCAATTAAGTGACAAAGTTTGTTGACAAGTGATATTCACCTATGATCATTTAATTGATAACGTTATTTTATCCGAGTAGTGATTTTTCACATCAGTCAAAGAGCGGACAAAGTTTGTTGACAAGTGATATTCACCTACAGTCAATTAAGTGACAAAGTTTGTGGACAAGTGATATTCTCCTACAGTGAATTAAGTGACAAAGTTTGTGGACAAGTGATATTTTCCTACAGTCAATTAAGTGACAAAGTTTGTGGACAAGTGAAATTCACCTACAGTGAATTAAGTGACAAAGTCTGTGGACAAGTGATATTCACCTACAGTGAATAAAGTGACAAAGTTTGTGGACAAGTGAAATTCACCTACAGTGAATTAAGTGACAAAGTTGGTTGACAAGTGATATTCTCCTTCAGTCATTAAGTGACAAAGTTTGTTGACAAGTGATATTCACCTACAGTCAATTAAGTGACAAAGTTTGTGGACCAGTGATATTCACCTACAGTGAATTAAGTGACAAAGTTGGTTGACAAGTGATATTCTCCTACAGTCAATTAAGTGACAAAGTTTGTGGACAAGTGATATTCTCCTACAGTCAATTAATTGACAAGCAATATTCCTTTTAACTGCATTATCATATGAAGCTTGCAGGTTGTAACATTTCTGCTAAGTAATTCAACAGTAGCCCATAAGCCGATAAAGTTTGCGGATTAGAAACACATGTATGTATACTCCTCATAAAGCACAAGGTTTTTTGGCAGGTGAAATTCTACAATGTCCCATTAACTTTGTGTTAAAGTGTAAAAATAAATTATACAGATTTAGTCATTCACCCGTGAAATTTCATATTGAACTATTCCAACCCATTGAATTGGAGGAGTTGAAATGTGTCCTCAGGGGTGAATGAGTTAACCTGATGCCACATCCACTGAATGACAAAGTGTGTGCAGTATTGAGTATCCACAGCCATTATTGACTTAAACACAGTGTGCAGACTTACACGATTCCACGAAGCCATTCAGCACAACAGTTATTACACTGACAAAGCCACTGTCAATCTTGAGAGGTTAAAAACTTTCTCTTTAATCAATTTCAGTTTTAAATCTGTAATTCAATCCCCATAAAGCATCCACAGGAACACTGATTTTATGAGTCAATTTACCATCCCTTGATAATGGATATTAAGCACTCTAGAACCTTCAAATAGAGGACACAAGAACAATAACCATTAGCATTGTCTTGGTAATTTTACATCATCTTAAACTCTGAGTAACAACAGCTAATGTGCCTAAATTTTATCTTGATCAGTTTGGGTCTTAATTCACTCAATCTTAACTGTAACATTAAATTCTTCAAATCTGAACTAAATTCAAACTCAGCCTCTTTCACTGTTATTGAATACAATAAAAATTCATACCCAGTCAGTTTCACTGTAGGATATTACAATAGTATAAACATTTCCACTGCGAGATGTTAAAATCTCATTACAAATCGAAACAAATCATTGTGAAATATTTAAATCGTCTGTGATTTCATACTCAATCACTTTCACTGTCACTCTCGTCAAAGCCTGTCCAGTCGATCTCCTGCAGCTTGCCCTGCCTCATGGCGTGCTCTATGAGTCCCAGGTGACAGAACACATACTGGTCCGGCATCTGGATACTGAAGGCCCTCTGTGACCTGATCCTTCGTACCGTCTCCTGGACGTCCACACGGCCGATATCCTCCAGCTTCCTCAGACAAATGTCTATTGTCATAAACGTACCTGTAACAGATATGGAGAAATGAAATTTTAATGCACTAGACTGCAACAAAGAAATTATATAAGATACAGAAATATGAATTAATATAATAAGTGTTAATAAACAGTTTTAAATGGCATCGTTTAAGCTGTTCTTTCAGGTGAAATCATCAAATCTTAGACAAGAGGCCCATGGGCCTTAACGGTCACCTGAGTCCTACAGTATTTATTTTTGTTGTTAAATTACCCGGTAATATTTAAAAGTAACTACAATGATGAGTTCAAAACTGGGCCTGTATTCATGAAACTGTTCTCATGCTCAAACTCAGATTTTGTGCTCAAGCCTAAATCCTTGTTCTGGTGATAAATTCATAAGAATTCACATTTTGTCAATGATCTGGAAGAAGTTTTGATAGACTTAAGGCTGAATAACGTTTTTGATGTTACCTGACTTTCTGACCATGTCGCATGATTTTAAGCCTGTTACAAGAAAATAGGTTTGAGCACAGAATCTGTACGTGAGCTTGAGAATAGTTACATGAATACGGGCACAGGTCTTTTAACACAGGTGACCTTTTAATAGAGGTGGTTGGTTTCTCTCAAAAAGTTTAACTGTACCTTATAATACCAGAAATAAACCCCAGCATCAGGTCTTTCTTAACTCACCTGTGCGACCTATCCCAGCACTGCAGTGTACCAACATGGGAGGTCCTAGTGGATGGTCCTGCCAGGCGTTACCTAGGCGAGCTGTGGCGTCGGCCTGACAGGACCGTACGCGGTGCAGGAAGTCTAGGAATGCAGCTGCTGATGAAGGAACACCGTAGTCTGGCCAACTGGTGAACTGCAGGTGAGTCAGGTGGCGTGATTCATCAGTCTACAAGCACAAAATTTGTTGCAATTTCATCTTTGTTCAAAAGTAAGGTGGATATATGCATTCAAATCAAACAAGTTTAAGCATGCAAGATCTGCTGAACTTGAAATTGTAAATTCAATACGACATGGAATTCCTGTTTTCCTGACTGATGTGAAAATTCCTCTTCAAGAAATGAACGCTGTATCCAGTGATTATGGTAAAATAAGGGTCACTACAACTGCTTGTTTCAAAGAAAAGGCAATAGTTACAGGGCTGATTGAAGCAAACAGAATAGAAATGTAAATTTAATATCCACCTCAGGTAAACAGATTGGGAATGTAAAATAACCTCATTGCAAGCAAGAAGATGGAAAATATTGAAATCTCATCATAGGCAAACAGATTGGGAATGTAAAATAACCTCATTGCGAGCAAGAAGATGGAAAATATTGAAATCTCATCATAGGCAAACAGAATGGAAATACATTCATTTTTTCTTAACCGCCCATCACCATAATAACATTATCATCATACACTGTAAGAAATAGGTATTGGGTAAGAAATACAAGGATGTTTAAAAGAAATACAAGAAAGTATAAAAGTGGTAGAAAAGGATATTAATGTAGATGTTAAAGATACCTTGGTGTTATGAAGGAACAGCCCTGTCACAGTGTAGTCCTGGTGTTGTTCTGTTCCTGTATTGATGATGAGGAACTCGTCGCACGTTTCCTCAGCGTCCTCCTCCACCGGCCAGTACTGGCCACACTTTAGCCGCCCGCGCTCTATCGCCCTGAAAATACAGACACAGCCCATGTACCTTCTGTCTAACTAAATATCACCTTCAGAAGATAATTAACTTAATCAAGATGATTTACATCGAATTAAATCCTCAAATCTATTTCATCCTTGTCAATATACTGCAGTATACCAGAAAATGTTCGTCCAGTCGAACTGTCACCCTTTCTGTTAGAATCTTTCATCGCCTGTGTTAATTTCATATTTAATTATTATGTACATTTGTTGTTTACAAATGTTCGCTGATATGGTTGATAAATTTGACCTTAAACTACAGCAAAAGTTTTCCCTCGGTATACAGTAATTTTAAGATTAAGAAATGAAAATCTTTCAATGATTTCAGTATACATTACTTCACCACCCGAAGAGCACTCACAAAATTTGACAATTGTAGGTGTGCAGCGAAAATTTCTTGGTATACATAAGCTGAGCAGAAGAACCTATTTCAGTATGTGACCCGCACTCCACCATTCCAAGAGGTACTCGCATGCGAAATTTGACAATATTGTAGGTGGCTGAGTTTTAGAGACAAAGCAACATATGCACAGACTGACGGATGGATTTGAGACCTAAATAGTCCCCTCAAGTATTGTATTACCATTGGGGTACTGATAATAAAGCATTCACCATGACTCAATCTCAATAATTTCAAACAGTTATTTAATAAATATCAATATTTACTTGGTTGTCATGACGATGACCATAACTTGACAATGCCAGACCATTCTCCAGAAATCGCCAAACGTCTTTGGAAGTGGTCCTTAAAAATGAAAATAGAAAAAATCTCAAAAACAAAATCAATGTGACATTATCTTAAACAAAATAGAGATTTAAAGAACATTCACCAAGCATTTATTGACCATTGGGAAGATACTGGTCAAATTGATAAGAAACTTAGAATTTTTAAATTTCAAATTTGACCTCTTATTTTATTAATTGCTCTATGAATATATACTGTTTTCCAATTAATATGGACAAAAAAATATCCATTTTCAATCATCATTTCAAAATGCACGTTAGAAATATCAATGACTTTGAGTTCAATCAAACAGCTATGATAAAAAAACAACACATTCTACTGTCACCGTTAATATTCAGTAAAACATTGATGTTTGCATAGTAAAACTAGAAATAGCCTGAACATAAATTTACCCTGTGTGGATATGTAGGCTTGTTTCTGCATATAGCCGTCCATATAGTTGGCGTTGATGTAGTCGGAGGACGGGTCAGCCTCCTTCACAGGTAGGCGTACACGTGAATGGTCAAAACACAGCACATCTGAGTATCGGTTCTTAGGCAAGTTGTATTTGGCTCTACCAAAGAAAGTTTTAATTTGTATAATGTATGCATAAAATGTCAATTACATAACCTTAATACAAACCTTGTCCTGTGTCACATGACACTTCACTAAGTGCTAAAGGTAAAAAAATAAAATCTATTTACATATATAGGCTGCATTTGCTTATCGTGATCCAAACGGTTTGACCGGTTGGACCAGAGTTGTTTGTTTATGAAATAAGGTGGGACCTAGTAATCTGATGCTGCTTTCAGGCGAGCCTTTACAAAGCCCTGCAAGGCCAGCATAAACATTTGCAGGTCTGCCATGATTTATGCCCGAAAATGTTACATTTAAATGCAAAAGGGGCAATAGTTATTAATTAAACTTTAACAACCTATGTCATCAACACAATACATACAGTATATAGAGCTATATGGTGGAACGTGGACAAAAAGGGGCTTCACAGTAAAACTTCCAGTTATAGATAAATCTAGAAAAGGAATAAATAAATATCCCAATGGCTGTAATTAATTGGTACAGCAGATTGTTTCATATTAATGACACATAACTGGAGGTCACCCAGTAATATACCTGTAGCGAGCACGGTACTCCCACCTTAGTCCTCCCATATATGTTCTTGTAGCTGAACATAGCTTATTCAGTCAGAAGCCACTCCTCACTGTGTCAGAGGTCACAATTTAACTCATTCACCCCTGAAATTTCATAATGAACTATTCCAACCTTTGAATTGGAATAGTTCAAATGTGTCTTCAGGGGATGAATGAGTTAATGTTTCAGACAACACATCTCATTGTGTCCGACTTCACTTCGCACTGTGTCACAGGTTACATATTCAGGTCACACATGGACCTCACTATGTAATCTCAATGTCAGAAGTCACATTTTACTGTGTCAGAGGTCATACCTTAATATGTCAGAGGTCACACTTAACGGTGTCAGAGGTCATACCTTAAGATGTCAAAGGTCTCTGTTTTCTCACTGTTTTCAGATCAAGAAGTCACATGACATATGTACACTGTGTCAGAGATCCGCCTCACAATTTCCAAGTCACACCTCACTGTGTCAAAGGTCACACCTTACTGTGTCAGAGGTCACTTCACTGTGTCAGAGGTCACCTCACTGTGTCGAATGTCACACCTTAATGTTTCAGATGTAACATCTTAATGGGTCACAGGTCACAGATGAGATATGTACACCAGCTGTCACCGATGAATTTTCACAGGGAATAAACTGAAGAAAAAAATGTGTTTACATGATCTTTGCCTAACGTAACATCGATTGCTTACTTTGATACTGTGAATGTGCCCGATGGTGGTTCTAACTTGATTAAAGCATATTCTTGGTACATTCCTTTTCGTTTGAGTTGCCGACAATGTTCTGCTAATTCATCTAGAGTTAGCCCCCCTGTTTCTGATCGATGTACTGAGTCCTCAATCATGTTGTTTGAACTGCCAGACAGAGGGCGTTTCTTTTTAGGGATCTCAAGATTTTGGTCCATGGTTTCAGAATTATTATAGTCCATCGATGAATCGACTGTTTTTTTCACACTCCCTGATTCCAAGATGGGATCTGATTCTCGTCGGCGTTTGCCAGAGTTATTCACACAAGAATCCTCTTTTTCGACTGTCACTTCTTTTTCCGCTTTCTCATCGCCATTAATCTGCACCTCCTTTTCTTTATCCTCACAGTTATGTTTTTCATTGATCGTTTCTTTTGATTCCTCCGAATCGATGTCACTTATCAACAACGTGTCCGACATATCACTTGACAAGCTCCTTCGAGACACAGATCCTCGCGAATTCCGTTCAACGTTTTTCTTACAAGCACTGAAATACGAGTCAATGTCTGCATTTTGATTTGCGGTTACATTGGCACACATCAGTAGCCACGGTGCGTGGGTGTCTGGGGCAATGCCTCCTAACTGCCGTGGCAGGGATTCCTTGGGTATGTGCTGTGTCAACTGAGAGAGGCTTACAGTATACACCTGCAATAAACAAATAAGTCATTTACAGACACAGAACTTCTTTGTCACTTCATGATAGTGGCGTAACGATATATCGTACTATCGATAGATTATGATTGTACGCCTGTCGTTTTGATTAACCGATGATAACTTAATAAACTCGATAACAATCGTCGATAGTATGCTAAACAATCGATAGTTTCAAAACTACTAACACTTACAGTTTTCATTATCACACCATGCAATTATGAGTACTGATAACTCAGTCGTTATCATAAAGACACACTCGGCTGCACTAACACAAGGAGTCAAGAACGGTAGTCAGTATCAGATATTAATCTCAGTCGTATCTGCGTTTAAAATTTCATAAATGTTACGGTCTACTTTATACTTTGTTGTTGTGGGAATGTTTGATAAACATGTTAGCAGACAGCATGGCCACTAACTTGCATATTTAAGACAACAAACTGACCTTATACCAACGAACCAACAGCGAATTGACAGAAAGAATTTGGGTAAGTGAATTATCCAATACTCTTGCAATACTATCGTGATAGTATACCACAATAATTGTACTATCACAATAGTGTTTTCCCCAATAGTAATAATATTGCATTAGTGAAAAATACGAGCAATACTCACCCCTACTTTGTAATGACTTGATAACATCATCCCTGTTAGTTCGAATTATTCTGACGTTTTATCAACTTTTTTCATATCGGTCTGTCGTCGATTAACGTCAGAACTCCGGCCCTCTATAATATGCGGGAAATATGCGACCCGCGCCCGGAGCGATTGTTTCTAAAATATCAGTTTGAAGTACGCCCCGGGCGCGGGGCGCATATTTCCCGCATATTATAGAGGGCCGGAGTTCTGACGTTAATCGACGACAGACCGATATGAAAATAGTCGATAAAACGTCAGAATAATTCGGACTACATCCCTGTATTCATGGAATACTTTTCATGCTCATTCTAAATTATGTGCTCAATCAGCTCAATTCTAGAGAGAAAATACTACGTGTACATATAAAAACATTTGTGCTATTTCAATATTTTGCTGGTACTTACTAAAGACTTGTGCTAAGAACCATTCCCATGTGAAAGTAATTAAAGTTTTGATTTCAATACAAGAACTATGAGAGTTACAAGAAAACTGGTTTGAGCACACGTAACCTGTTTGAAGGTTAGGGTGGTTTTATGAACCCAAGGCCAGATATGAGATTTTGAATTCAAATAGATATATTTATTTTCAATCAAGTTTTTTTCTGGAATTCAAAATACTGCACAAAAGTGTTGGACTCTATTTTATTTTAATGTTCATGATTTCAACAAATTTTATTCAGTTGTTTGCTACAGAGCTTAACATATTACTGTACACTTAAGCAATAACTTCACAACTTAAAATGTACAATACTGTAAAATCATAATTTCTCGTGGGACATTAAATTTCATTTATTTCGTGGATAACAAAAAGCCACGAAATTAAATCCCCACGAAAACATAAATTTGGTATAATATAGATAGGGGGAAATCAGAGATCATCGAAATATAATGTCCTCGAAACAGGCTAGTATATGAAAACCGCGAAATTTTAAACCCACGAAAATAAATGATTCTACAGTATAATGTAGTGTTTGCATGATGATTTCTAAATATGCCTCTGCTTTGATGTGACAGGACGGACAACTTACCCGGTCTCGTAACTTCTCCCTCACAAAGAGGCGGAGTATTTTGAACGGAGCCTTAAACCACAGTGGTGCGGTGACGATGAGAACTTTCTTCAGCCTGGCGGGATACCCTCCCTACAATCACAATAAGCAGTTACAAATATCAAAATTTAAACTTAATTTCCAATCATTGTATTTAAATCCATTTGACACAGTGGTTAACCATCAAGTTATTTGTTTCTAATTCAGCTTGCCGGTATTTCCCTTTAGTTCAATTGGTAGTGTACTGGACTAGTTACCTGTATTCCCAGGTTCGACACTTAGCTAAGGCACTTTGGGGAAAATGTGACCTTGTTTAAAAGTCTTCCATTTCAACATTTAAAACTGTAACTCATTAAGTCTGGTTTTATTTAACACAAACAAAGCTAATCGATAACTAACGAGACAAAGTGTTGCAAGGCAATCCATAGTCCCCAACCGGTAATGATTTTTTCATTTACCAAGCCGCACTTCCACCAGCCACGACATGCTTACATACCAAATCTAGTTCCTCCAGGTGATAAAGTAAAGAAGGTATGCTCCTGAAAAACTTTTTCATAGAATGAGGCCAAAGGGCAGACTGTGTTTATAACAGTGTCATTACACCATCTTAAATCTGATTAAAGATTATCGTAATACTGCCTTCCAGTCAATTCCCCTTTAATAAAAAATGTCCAGTATTTGGGGGTGTGGATGAAAGTTACAATTCTTATCTGATGCAACATCACAAGAAAATACAAGCAAACTGAATGCAAATTTATGCTACAAACCTAATTCATCTAAGACTAGAGAACATCAGTGGGCGTCACTTACATACGATAATAAAGATCTGGGAAAATACTGTTTTTGAGCTCACTACATCTTTAGTAGCTTTATTAAAGGAATATTTCAGATTTTATTTAAAAGTGTTGTTTTTTTTACTTTCCCTTGGTGACCTGGTGACCTGGTGAATGGAGTAAGATTAATTAAGAAATATTTTCTTCATATGCCGGTAAAAAAATAATAATAAGCAGGATTAAAGTGACAGGTCTGCACGAGTTGCCTTAAAGTTCCGAAATTCAAACAAAAATGAGCATTCCAGTCTGGGTTATTCTTATATACATACCTTCAACATGTTGAGGATCTTTTTACTAAGTTCATAATCAAAATGGTTGTATTTTGATTCTGTCATGTCGTAGATGAAAACTAGGCCATGTCTTTGAGTTTCTTGGCTGAAATGTTTTTCAAAGATATCTAATTTTATTTGATTTAATATCTAATTATGCCAGCCAAAAACTTATGCCCACTCATATTAGACTGTGAACACAGAACAAAATAATATAAATCCAATATGTATTGAACAATAAGAATAATGCAATATTGTAAAAGTACATGTGATAAAATCTTGTTTGAAAGTGACACTCATTTGTATTTAGAGAATAAGTATATTTCACTTGATATCACTTCTCATTTGTCAGAGGGAAACATGATATTAACCAGAACATGACTTTAACAGAAAACCTGACATTAACAGAAAACATGTTTTTTCAGCTGTAAAAATCCGGAAGTGACCATATTTAAATGTCCAAGTGGTATGATTTTTTAAAGAAAGATTGTTTAATTCAGATATTTGTAACTGACAGGGCTTTTTCTTTGATAACAGTGAAATAATATACTTTTCTTTGTTTAGTTTATTGAAAGATGCAGCTAAAACACTAGCTTCATTCCGGCAGCATCTTATGATCATAGATGATCAAATAGGCCTAGATCGACCTGTAGTTGTCATCGGCTGCTAATCTACATTTTGCTTCAAATTCATTCGTAAAGCATGTACCAGTAATGTACTAGCCCACAGGCAAATTTGGGAGAAAAAAAATACTGGTACGACCAATACCTTTGTTTCCCAATAAATATTAAAAAAATTCAGTGACCCCGACATTTATTTTATAACCCCACATGTCAATATAGTGAAACTGCAGTACCTTTCGAGTGCAGCATCCAGTTGGTAGATGAGGCCCTTGAGAACTAGCTGTGTAGAGGTACAGGCTGGCGTGTGGAGTCTGGCTGTAAACAAGGCAATGGCCGCACCGTGTCTGTCTCTGCCCGGCTGTATCAACGAACATGCATATCGTGTCAGATACCGTATCATTGTGAGTAGTAACTAACTACTTCAGTTGATTTAGTTTGTATTCTGGACTTTGTATTCAATTCTAAAGATTTAACAATAATGTTTAAACACTAGAAAAAGCTTATTAATAGCATCAGGGCCTGTATAGTGCTTTTTCCCTCCCTTTTTTCACCTTATTTATTGATCGTTATGGCTTACGCCAACAGTATTTATTTTACCTTCTTTCCTGATATAGGGGCCTGTGTCTTTTTCAATGGAGAAAATCTTGCATTATTTTCACAAAAACAGAAAAATACTTCCCATTAAGAATTGGTGTCAACCTTTTGTTTGCTCTTTTGGCCACTTGACCTCATATAGGAAACAAGTCCTTGGACTCGATAAGGCATCCTTGGCCGGGCAATTAAGTCATATTGTATGTTACACAACTTTTTGACATCCTTTAATAAAACATTGGATTTGTTTTTGATTCCATTGTTTAATTCTACTTTCTTACACTTTGTAAGTTTGTCAAATATTTTGAAACTGTATTAACTCATTCATCCCTAAACTTTAATAATGGACTATTCCAACCTTTGAATTAGAAGAGTTCAAATGTGCCTTCAGGGGAAAATGTGTTAATTTTGTAGCATATCATGAAAATCTACCCATCTATCTGGGACATTTTAGTCCAGACCGACAAATTAATTAAACATACCAGAATAGTGAGCTTCTCTGTGTTTAGTTCTTGTTTCAGGTAATCGTCCAAAGGATAGATGTTGATCAAGCTTTCTCGTCGTCTGGTGCTCTGAATAAAAACAATGTTAATTATAACTTACACCAACATTTAAGTTCCTTGAATAAGATAAACAAAGCTAGTTAGTATTTACATGGACATTCAGACAGAGTCAGCAAATATGAAAATTTGACAATAAATTGATCATGAACACACCTGCAAATGAAGAACATTATTCTTTGTATCCATACATCTCTCTTTTCAAATTCTTCTTGTTGTCACTATATGATCAACTTAATATCACAATATTGGTTGTTATATAACATCAAAGAATCTCACTTAGGTGCGTTATGACCAAAAGGCAATTTGTATTTTGAAAAATGTAACTTAACCCTTCCAATTTTTATCAATTTTGCATCCATTATTGAAATATTACCCCAAAATTGTGTGTTTTTGTGTGAAAACCTTTTAACCCCTTAAAAATAAAACAGAACATATATATATATATATATTCTGTCAAGAACTTTTGTAATTAATGTTGTGATCTGGACAAAATATCATAAATATTGAAATAGTCCTAAAATTTAAATTTACTAAAGCCTTGTATTTCTGATCTGCAAACTTGAACTTCTTTTGCGATAGCAGAAACAACAGAAACAATAAATCTGAGACTAGTCTTGTTTCTGATTTGCTTTCTTTCATATTTACTACTGAATTAAGCTCTGGGAACTTCAATTAACCTCATCATCAATACTTGATGTTTTCAATTACTAAGTTAGCATTTTGTCAAGGTTTTTCAATGTTTTCTTATGAAAAGGATGAAATTTGAATGAAATTGATTTAAGAAAAGGAGAAAAAAGAAACAGATTTTTATTTTTTTCAATCTCCTGAGGAACAAAAATGGGTAATAAATGAATCAAGTACAGAGTTTAGAAAATTTTGCTAATGCTCCAAGTTATAGTTAACTTCACTTCCTTAAAGTATGAAAACTTAGATAGAAATTATGAGATCATACATGCATGTGTTGCACAAAAAAGGAATTACCGCTAACAAATATATACACAGTGGCAGATGTCTGCAGTACAATGTGAGGTCAATGTTGACCTGAATGAACTCTTAAAAGTACTTGGTGACCACCGATGACCTTTGGTCGATAATACAGTGGTGCATGTGTATTATAGGTGTAATGTTTGTAGGCGGTGTACGAGGGGATACTGTCACCGTGGCGTTGTCTACATCCCTACATCCTCTTAACACTAACCTCGTGATTAAGGTACAGCTCCAGTGCTCTCTGTCTGTCGAACTTCCGGGCCATCAGAAACTTGACTGCTGTGTTTTTGGGGATGGCATCCTTCTTCTCTTCCTCCCTGAGCTTATTCACCCTCTCAAGGAAACTGTTTACTTCCTGCAACGAAAAGGGTTTAGTGTTCACGATTACCGGTAGCCACAGAGACAATGACTGTAAAGAGTCGGGTCAGTCTATACAAAACCGAAACATTTGTAGACCTAAATATCATTATGGGACATAAGTTTGATAGATATCCATAATGCTTTATTGGAATTACTTGACATTTACCATATATACTACATTCAACAAAACTGCTGACCATCTATGAACAAAGTCAATATTTTTCTTCTTTTAACTCATTCACCCCTGAAGTTTCACAATAAACTATTCCAACCTTTGAATTGGAAGGGTTCAAATGTGTCTTCAGGGGTGAATGAGTTAATTAATGGAACGTGCACCATATATAAGAATGTATTACATCAGGTATTGAAAACATGTTTTCATCTGTAAGTGAGCTAAGGCCTACATGTATATTACAAAATTTTCTTTTCTTATAGATCCTTGGGACTCTTTCGCGTATCCAGTTCAACCAGTTGTAACGGTTGAACCTGAAAGAAAAGGACAGGCTCAGGTCTGAACCGAGGCTGACCTCAGGAATGTTTCGCACATGTATAGAGAGGGTCTAGACATGCCTGATCGAAACTAAAATGCTGGCTGTTGCTAGTTTGAATTACATCTTTATAAAACAAGATTGATTCACCCAGGATATATTAGGATATGTTATAAATACAGGTATAAATTAGTAGACATTTGAAAGGAAAACATATCTTTCTTGAATAATTGTAATTTTTTTGTCAAAAAACTCAAAAACTGTGCATTTTTTAGCTCTGCCTACAGTTCGGTCCAAGTTTGTTTGTTTATTGCAAAATATTTCTGCGCCACCTGAACTGTTTCAACTGGGATACGTGAATGCAACCTAGGTGAACACTACCTGGCGAGTGTTACACAGTCATAAACCTGACTCTTGGGTTTGAAAGCAAGTGTCTATCTGACATAAGTGTCTAGATCCTCTTAAGGTTGAAGGAAATGTTACTTGACTTCTAAGATTGATAAATGTCAAGCTTAAGGGTCTACTGAAAACCCCAAACATCACCACACAGACCTCTATCTTCAGTGTACCGGAAACCTTAATCTTAAGAAGAATCTTCCTGGTTGCGGGAAACAACAGTTACAAGAACAATAAACCAAGAGTCAGTGCACTGTAGGGCCTGTATTTGACATCCACATACACCTACATCATGTTTTATCATTTGTTAATTATCATGAATAATTAAACTAGAGGGGAAAAAAGGGGGGGGGGCATGTTTTGTTTAATTGGATATATTCATACCTGTCCGAGAACTATCACGCAAAGGGAAAAAGGACAAAAATTGTGTCAGTAATATTTCACTAGTAATTCAGTAATATTGAATATTGAAGCTTATGACAACTTAACAAGATCTGGAGGACACATGGGGGCCTGTATATCATTTATCATACAGGAAAAAGGCACAAAGGGCCTGTATATCATTTATCATACAGGACAAAAAGGCACAAAAGGGCCGGTATATCATTTATCATACAGGAAAAAAAGGCACAAAAGGGCCTGTATATCATTTATCATACAGGAAAAAAAGGCACAAAAAGGCCTTTATATTATTAATCATACAGGAAAAAAGGCACAAAAGGGCCTGTATATCATTTATCATACGGGAAAAAAGGCACAAAAGGGCCTGTATATCATTTATCATACAGGACAAAAAGGCACAAAAGGGCCTGTATATCATTTA